CATAGTATAGTAAAGCATATTTTTCAGAAGAGGGTCGGACACAAATTTTTACCAAAAACTATTGTAAGGCATATTTTTCATCTGAAACTGTGAAGCATTTTTAACAATATACTATAGTAAGGCATATTTTTCAGGAGAGGCTCGGACCTCAATTTTTACCACATAGTATAGTAAAGCATATTTTTCAGGTGGCACTGCAACATATTTTCACAACATACTATAGTAAGGCATATTTTTCAGGAGAGGCTCGGACCCCAATTTTTACAACATACTATAGTATGTATGGCACATTTTTCAGGAGAGGGTCGGACCAAAATTTTTAAGACATACTATAGTAGGACATATTTTTCAGGAAAGGGTCGGAACCCAATTTTTAACAAAAATTATAAAAAGGCATATTTTTCAGGTGGCACTGTGACGCATTTTCACGACATAGTATAATAAGGCATATTTTTCAGGAGAGGGTCGGACCCAAATTTTTACCACAAATTATAATAAAGCATATTTTTCAGGAGACGGTCTGACTGCAATTTTAACAACTAATAAGGCATATTTTTCAGGTGGCATTGTGACGCATACGCCTTATTATAGTTTGTGGTAAAAACTGTGGTCCGACCCTCCTGAAAAATATGCCTTACTACATAGTATGTTCTAAAAATTGGGGTCTGAACCTCTCCTGAAAAATATGCCTTACTAATAGTATGTGGTAAAAATTAGGGTCCGACCATCTGCTCAATTACACTAAACAACCCATTTTTCAGAGACTTGTGGGCATGCACACCTTTTTGCGTTTCCTCTGTCTCGCTCGGCCGTCCAGACTGCCGTTCCCCTGTAGGAGGGGCTTTGACGAGTGTGAGGAGGAGGATGGGGTGGAGGGGGGAGTGGCCTCAGGTGAGTCTGGATCCTTCTTCACCTGAGGGTGGGACAGAGGGAGGACAGATGTTAGTTGGTTATTTAAAACCTAAGTGTGGTACCAAGTGACTACAACTGGTTATCAGAACCACACTGTGTGTTTACCTCAGCATGTGTGTTGTAGTGGATGTAGCTGGCAGAGGTCACATGACTGATAGGATTAGTCTTGGCTGTCATTTCCTGCTTTACCAACAGAGACAAGTCCACAATCTGGAGAAGGAAAATCACAAAGAAAAGGAAGCCAATTTATGACCCTGAAAGGTTTTTAGGATTTATATGTTTGCTACAAGCTACAAAACACACTAAACTAGAATTACTAAAAATCTAATCAGTTCATCTTTGAGTTCAAGTGGATGCTTGTGCCAAATTTAAAGAAATTCCCCCAAGGCATTCCT